TCTTCTTCTTCTTCTTCTTCTTCTTCTTCTTCTTCTTCTTCTTCTTCCTCCTCTTCCTCCTCTTCCTCCTCTTCCTCCTCTTCTTCCTCTTCTTCTTCTTCTTCTTCTGACTTTTAGTTATAAAATACAGACTCACAAGCTGTGTGCGGTGGTGCACGCCTGTAATCTCAGCACTCAGGAGGCAGGGGCAGGCAGATCTCTGTGAGTTCGAGACCAGCCTGGTCTACAAAATGAGCCCAGGACAGCCCAGGCTACACAGAGACACTCTGTCTAGAAAAAAAAATAAAAATACAGATTCACTGGACAATAAAAAGGTGGACCCGGCAGAATGTACTCAATGGCTGCGCTCATCCTGAGCTAAGGGCACTTGGAAATCAAGGCAAGAGGGCTGCTGTGAATCCAAGGGTGGCCTGGGCCTTAGAGTGACCCTGTCTCAGAAAACCAAATACAGGGCCGGAGAAGCGGTTCAGTGGTGAAGAGCCTTGGATCCCCTTTTAGAGGGCCTGGTTTGATTTCCAATATCCAGGTGACATCTCACAACTGTCTCCTACCCTGGTTCTAGGGGATCCCACTCACTCCTTTGGTCTCTGTGGGCACCACGCATGCACATAGCACACACACATGCATGTAGGGAAAGCAGCCCTGTGCATAAAATTGAAACCAATAATTAATTTTAAAATTAAATATGAAAATATCCAACATGGTCAATGTATTACCCAGGAACTCCGTGGTTAATTTTATCATATTCTCACCTTATTTGATGCTTCCCTTTCTTCATGGCCATGACCCCAAATATAAAGTGGAAAATTCCAGAAATAATAATCACATTATCATATACATTTCATTATATCATATTATTTTCCTATTCTACTTAATTAATCCAGTTATTTTGTTTTGTTTGCTTGCTTGTTTTGAGACAAGGTCTCTCTCTGTATCCCTGGCTGTGGTAGAGCTTGCTGTGCGCGCCACCTCACAGGTAGGCTGCTGTTTTTCGTGGGGTGGATGGAGGCTGAGATAGTCTTACACGGCCAAGTCTCACCTTGAACTTCTGGTCCTTCTTCCTCTGCATCCCACGTTCTGGTGCAGCCGGTGAATTCAAACATTCAACCTTTCTAGTTTTAAGCTGGACACTCTGGTCTGGAGAGACTGAGGCAGGGGGACGGTGAGTTCAAGGCCAGCCCATGCGATAAAGTTAGAACCTAAAGTTAGAACCTGTGTCAATAGGTGAATGAGTCAGTAAATATAAGATACCCGAAATATTGCTTATAATACAATATGCTACATAAAGAAAAACAAAAAGGCTGGGCATGGTGGCGCATGCCTGTGATCCCAGCACTCAGGGGTGGGAGGCAGAGGCAGGCAGAGCTCTGTGATCCCAGCTGGTCTACAAAGTGAGGCCGGGGGCAGAGGAACCCTGTCTCAAAAAACAAAAACAAAACAAACAACCCAAAAAACCAAAAACACCCCAAAGATCCAAGCACCAAGCATGGCGCTCACACTTTTCATCTCTGAATTTGGGAGGCAGGAAGATGGAGAGTTTAAGGCCAGCCTCAAAGCAAGTTCAAAGCCAGCCTGCGAGGAAAGAACAAAGAGAGAAAGAAAAACAAAGAAAGGAAAGAAGGCCAGAGAGATGGCTTTGTGGGCGGGTATCCGGTGTGAGCCTGAGTTCAATCCTGGCATTCAAATCCCGTTTGGTGGAGGGAAAGGACTTCCACAGATTGTCTCCCGACCTCTCCACATGCGGGCTGTGGCACACGCATGTCCTGACACTCATGGTTCCCTCACTGCCCCTCTTCAAAAAAAGAAAGAAAGAAGAAGGGGTGGAGGGAAGGAGAGGCAAGGAAAGGGGCGGGAAAAATGCTTGGTGGGTTAGGGTGCTTGCCAGATGACCTGATTCCACAGACACACACACCGGAAGGAAGTTGGTCTCTGATCCATTCAATAAATAAATGTTTAAAAATACTTAAAGAGAGAAACAAGGCATGGTGGTGCACGCCTGTAACCCCGATACCCAGGGCGGCAGAGGCAGGTGGATCTCTGTGAGTTTGAGGACAGCCTAGTATCAAACAGATCCAAGACAGCCAGGGCTCCACAGAGAAACCCTGTCTCAAAACAAAAACAAGAAAAGAAGGAGGGAGAGAGCCTGCAAGAATCACACACATGCACGCGTCACACATGGATAGATTCCTAAAGATTTCGCTGTGAGCGAGTGAAGCAGACAGTGGACTTCCTCGGCTCAGCCAGGTTTTGGAAGCTGTGTCTACTGGAGATACGGCTTTGGACATCCCTGTCTTCAGGGGCCCCACAGGCTCCGTCGTGTCTCCTCCTCCACCTCCCACAGTAGCCAGCCGCCATCGTACTCCTTCCTGGCGTTGACTAGGCAAGCGAGCCCTCTACCCTGCCAGCTCCGCCATCTTACTGTTAACTCCTACCACCTCCCCAGGACCCCCCCCCGCCCCCGCTCTTCCAGCTTCCGCGCTGGTCCAGCCTCGACCCCTCTCTCCTGGGTCCCTTCCCCAGTCTGGCTGGGCCTCTGTTCTTCCTGCTCCCTCTGATGAACCCTCCGCACAGGGCCAAGGAAATCCCTAGAACGCAGCTCTCCTCTAGGCCCTCCTCATCCCTACCCCCCAGCGGCTCCCCAGTGGCCATGCGTGTGTAACGGCCTCACTTACTGATCAGAGTTCTGCGCCACTACGACGCCCACACCGTTGCCACTCAGATACTGCGTGGATGAATGAAGGCATGGGGTCAGGACAGCAAGCTGGGAAGGGTCCGCGTGGGAACGCTGGCTAGGAAAACCGTGACGCGCAGGCAGGCCACCAGTGGGCGCGCAGCGGCAGGGGGTCGGGGGCGGCCGGCCAGAAGCAGGGCCCTGGGCCTGCAGGAGCCGGGAGGGCGGAGGAGGGGCGCCGGAGCAGGGGGTGGGGCTCCTGGGAAGGCTCCGGCTCCGTTCCTTCCAGACGAGCGAGAGGCTGTGCAGAAGAAGACCTTCACCAAGTGGGTGAATTCGCACCTCGCGCGCGTGGGCTGCCACATCGCCGACCTGTACGCCGACCTGCGAGACGGGTTTGTGCTCACTCGGCTCCTGGAGGTGCTCTCGGGGGAGCAGCTGGTGAGCGGGCCTGGAGGGCGCGTGCGGGGTGGGGGTGGGGGTGGGGGATGAGGGCTGGGTGCTGACCAGGGACCCCCCACTGGGGAGGCGGGGCTTTGGGAAGAGGCGGGGCTTGTGCGGGGGGAGGGGAGGGGAGCGGGAAGGGTGTGTCTGCTGGAGGGGCGGGGCTCCCGAGGGAGAAGGGGCTGTGTTGGGGGGCAGGGGAGGGGTGCAGCGGGCGCTGTGGAGAAGAGCGCAGCGGGGACAGCCGAGTTAGGAGGTGGCCGGCAGCGGGTCTGTCAATGCCGGCAGTCGGTGGACAGAGGGAGGCAGGGGGTTGCAGTTGTGGGGCCGTCGAGGTTGGGATGGTGAGGCCCAGGTCTCGGGTGTCCGGGGACAAGGCAGTACTGTATGAGTTTGGTTTGGGCTGAGGCTGTTTTTGGGTCGCAAACAGTGTGATTGTGGTTGGGCAGCGAGTCGCTGAAGGACGTGAACCCGGAACTCCCCTAGACGTGAGGGACACAGCTACATAGGAGCAAAGCCCAATGGCAGGAACTGAGCTACCAAAAAAAAAAAAAAAAAAAAAAGGGAGGGGGCGGGGCATCACCATGAGGATGTAGGCAGGCCAAGAGCTCACTGGAATGATCTATCAGTGATAAGAAACAAGGACTTGTGGAGGGAGGGGGAACGAGGCAGCCCAGGCTAGTCTGGTGGCTCCGGCTGGCCTTGAACTCAAGGAGGATGAGTCAAGGGGCGTGGCCTTGGCGATGAGGGAGGCAGAGCCGAGGGCTCCCTGCTCTTGGCCAGGTCCCCATCACTCACGGGTCCTGCTGCCCTAGCCGAGGCCCACTCGCGGCCGCATGCGGATCCACTCGCTGGAGAACGTGGACAAGGCCCTGCAGTTCCTGAAGGAGCAGCGTGTGCACCTGGAGAACGTGGGCTCGCACGACATCGTGGATGGGAACCATCGGCTGACGCTGGGGCTGGTCTGGACGATCATCCTGCGCTTCCAGGTGACCCGTGACCTCTTCCTTACTCGGTTCTAGACGCTGACGTTTAACACACACAAAGCCCTTAGGAAGCATTAATCAGCTCACTTTACCAATGAGGAAGCTGGTGCGTTTTTAAATGACGGTGTGCGTGTGTGTGTGCGTGTGCGTGAGTGAGTGTGAGTGTGTGAGTGAGTGTGTGTGTGTGTGTGTGTGCGCGCGCGCGCCAGTACACGCGTGAGGAGATCAGAGGACAACTTTCAGGACTCAGTTCTGTCCTCCCACCACGAAGGTTTTGAGGCTCAAACTCAGCAGTCCGAATTTTTGTTGATGTTTTTCAAGACAGGGTTCTCTGGCTATCCCGGGTGTAGCTCTGGCTATCCCGGGACTCACACTGTCATCCACGTTGGTCTCCAATTTGGAGACCCACCTGCCTCTGCTTCCTGAATGCTGCTATTAAAAGTAAATGCCACCACTGACAGGCCTTTTGTGGGGTGGGGCAGTTGAGACAGGGTTCCACTCTGTAGCCCAGGCTGGCCTCAGACTCTCCGTGATCCTGTGACCTTGGCCTCCTGAGGGTCGGGGTTGCAGGCATTTAGGTCGGCACCCAGCATGGTGGCTTTAATATTCTCAGTTTAATATTCTCAGCTGCGGCCCAGATCAGGCGATCTTGCTCCACTACGGAAATGCCTCCCTGTGATAAGGAAGACTGACAATGAACATGGATACAGCAGGCATGTAGGGAGAAAGGAGCATCTTTAGGCAGAGGAAATTACCTCCCCCCCCCATGACCTGCTTATAAGTCTGGGGTGTGGGAGGGGCAGGGCTGAAGAGAATTTCATTTTTAAAGCTTTACAGAGACAAACAAAGCTACGCAGGAAAGGAGATTATTTTCAAGCAGTTAGGGGTATAAAATATCACATTAGCGTTGGTCAGATCTGGGCCAGAAAGTAACTGGGATGCTGATGGCAGAATTACACACAAAAGTAGAGGGTGTGCCAGGTAATGCACCTGCCTTCCGCGAATGAGGCCCCAAGGTCAAGCCCAGGAGAGAGGGGCAGAGGATGCAAAGAGGAGGTGGGACGAGCCTTGCACGCTGGAAGTACCAAAGAAGGGCTCATGAGGAGGAGAGAGAAACCTCCGAGCGCTTAGCCGAGCTCAGAGGTTAGCAGTTTAGGTTTTATTTTGTCTGAGATGGTGACAGACTACTGATTATTATCATTATTATTATTCTTTGAGACATGGCCACTTGTAGTTTAAGTTGGCCTTCAACTCTCCAGGCAGCTGAGGATGATCTTGAACTTCTGATCCTTCTTGTCTCCCAGGTGCTGAGATTACTGGTGTGTGCCACCATGCCCAGTTTAGAGATTTTGTTTTTTTAATCAAGGGAAGATGCACAATCAAACCTAGGAAAATCTCTGGATTGGAAGAAGAGGGCACTTACCCAGCATGCACAGCTTCATCTATGGTGTTATGAAGAGGGGGCAGGGCAGCCAGATCAGGATCAAGGTGGGGTATGAGAAGAGAAAGCAAACAGGTAAAACAAAACAAGAAAGAGGTCTGAAAGGAAAGCCACTCAGGAGGTGGGTGGCCAAGCATATAGACATATTTTACATATATGAATACTTAGCCTGTATGTGTGTGTTCACCACCTCCATGCCTGGTGCCCTCGGAGGTCAGAAGAGGGCACTGACTCCCCTAAAACTGGAGTGACAGGTGGTTGTGAGCCACCACGTGGGTGCTGGGAATAGGACCCGGGACCTCTGCAGGTGCGACAAGTTCTCTTAACACCCTGAGCCATCTCTCCACTCCTATTATACCTGTTCTTAAAATCATGTGTCTCTGCTGGGTGTGGTGGTGCACGCCTGTTATCCCAGCACTCAGGGAGGCAGAGGCAGGTGGATCTCTGTGAGTTCCAGGCCAGCCTGGTCTACAGAGTGAGTCCATGACAGCTAAGGCTACACACAGAAATCTTGTCTGGAAAAACCAAAAAATAAAAAATAAAAAAGTGTCTCTGTACGGCTCTGTGCATGTAAATGCAGGCTCTCAGAGATCAGAGGTGTTGGCTCCCGGTGGAGCCGGAGTTCCAGGCAGCTGGGAGCTACTTGAAATGCGAAGTAGGACCTGAGCTGTGACCTCAGTAAGAGCAGTCTGTGCTCTCCACTGCTGAGGCATCCTTCTAGCCTCCGAGAAAGCCGGTGTTTGAGCCCAGGATCCAGTCCTCAAATACCCCCTGAGACCCTGGCATCTGCTCTAGAGTCTAAGCCATTAAACACTCTATCCAGGGTGCGGAGACAGGAGGACCCCTGGGACTTGCTAACCACATAGTTTATCTGAATAAATGGGCTTCAGGTTCAGTGAGAGACACTGTCTCAAAAAAAAAAAAAAAAAAAAAAAATCAGAACTTGATAGAGTAAAACTCCTGACAGAGACCTATGATGCAGTCACACAAAGGTTCATGCATACTTGCCCACACACATACATACTCGAACACACATTTACACTGAAAAAAGATTTCTTTTTACTTGATTTTTGTTTGTTTTGTTTTATGTCCGAGACAGGGTTTCTCTGTGTAGCCATGGCTGTCCTGGAACTCACTCTGTAGACCAGGATTGCCTTGAACTCACAGAGATCTTCCTGCCTCTGCCTCCTGGGTGCTGTGATCACAGGTGTCCGAACAGGTGTCCGCACCCTGCTCGGCTTGATTTTTGTTTTTTTTGAGACAGGATGTCATATTGTAACCCAGGTTGGCCTGGAACTTGTGATCCTCCTGCCTCAGGTCTTCCAAGCGCTGAGATAACAGGTGATGTTTGTCTAAACACCTGGAGGAGGACTGTAGGTTTTTTTTTTTTTTTTTTTTTTTTTTTTGTGAGAAAAATGTTCCAGGTATAGGGAACAGCCAGTGCAAAGGCACTGAGGCAAAAAGTTGCAAATGCTCTAGCAAAATGGTCATTGATGAGTGTGGCAGAGTGAGCTGATGAGAGCAGGGTCAGAACTTCATGAAAGGAAGGTGGGAGGAAGTTTGTTTTTCCCCTAAGTGAGACAGAATCATAGTGGTGCAACCTTGTGGCACAAGCTTTTAATTCTAGCTGCTCAGGAGGCTGAGGCAGGAGGACTGTAAATTCTAAGTCTGCCCGTGCTACAAAGTAAGTTCAATGTTAACCTAGGTAACTCAGATAGATACTGTTTCAAAACTGAGAATGGAAAAGAGCTTGCCTAGAATCTGCTAGTAACAGGCTGGGAGCATGGCTCAGCAATAGAGCCCCTGCCTAGAATTCTTTAGTGAGGGGCTGGGGTGTGGCTCAGTGGTAGAGCCCCTGCCTAGAATTCTTTAGTGAGGGGCTGGGATGTGGCTCAGTGGTAGAGCCCCTGCCTAGAATCCCCCAGTGAGGGGTGGGTGCGCTTAGTGGTAGAACCCCTGCCTAGAATTCTTTAGTGAGGGGCTGGGGCTGGGGTGTGGCTCAGTGGTGGAGCCCCTGCCTAGAATCCCCCAGTGAGGGGCTGGGGTGTGGCTCAGTGGTAGAGTCCCTGCCTAGACTCCCCCAGTGAGGGGCTGGGGTGTGGCTCAGTGGTAGAGCCCCTGCCTAGAATTCCCCAGTGAGGGGCTGGGGTGTAGCTCAGTGGTAGCATGCCTTTGTAGCATATGAGAGGCATGTGGTATGACCTAAGAATATCCAACATCCCTCCTTGTACCACGTGGAGAGCTGACTGTGCAGGGAGACCAGCATGAAGACCACCAGACTGG